CCCCCCCCAAGTGACAGCCCTATCCCTGGTCATTGAGGCAGTTGGGGTGGGGCGGGGGCGTGATCCTCCTGAGGCGGGTGGGGACCCTGTGCAGCTGGAGGTGAGCAGTGGGTCCACCAGGGTGCTGTGGGGAGGACGGGTTTGTGGGGCACCAAATCTGAGGGGCGCGTAGGTTGAGGACAGAGATAGTTGAAAGCAAGAGACTGCTGGGACCCTTCAGGGGGAATGGGTGGGGTGGGGAGACACAGTGAAGCCATGAGGCCCTAACTCCCTGGGGCTCAAAGAGAAGTCGTGGGAGGCAGCGGGAGAGCTGTCGGCTGCCCCCCAGGTTACCCAACCCCAGCTTCTCGGGGAAGAAGCGAGCCTCAGACCCATAGCGCCTCTGCCAGGTGCCCTTTACCAGGCGGCCGAGCTCGCAGCCATGGCTGCTTTCCCAGGGGCCCGGGGAGGCGCTGGGGACCCAGAGTTAAAGGAACGAGGTGGAAAATGACCTCATCTGCTGTCAGAGCTGAGGGAGGAGTCCGCCCGAGAGTGGGCTGGAGTGGCCGCCTGCGGTCACTTTCATTGCCCTAAGGCGGGCTGCCTCTGTGGCCACAAGAAAGCCATTTATCATTCACTTAGTCAACAGGTCTTTACTAGAGATGCTTCCCTGGGTGGGGCCCAGACTGAAGCACGGAGAGAAATAAGGTGTGATCCTGGCTGGGCGGCTCCCAAGCCACCGCTGTACAGGGTGGCCGGAGCTACATGGGGGTCAGTGCAGGCTCCCCTCCTGCCCAGGGTGAGGGGGGTGCAGGGGAGGGAGGGCTGGGGGCAGGGACTTAGCCAGGGCGATCCAGCCTGATAAATTCTACAGCTGTGGCACTGGTACCTGCCTTGATGATAACCAACGAGAAGGATTCAGTCCCACTAGGCCTGATGATACCTCAGCCTTCTGTGTGTTCTGAGGACTTCATGTCTATCCACTCATTTCATCCTAAATACAGCCCCATTTTACAGATTGAGACGGCGAGGCCCAGGGAAGTGATGGCTGTGCCGGGAAGTGGCAGGGCTGGGATTTGCACCCAGCCCATCTGGCTCTAGAGGCCAAACCCTGAGCCACCAGGGTCCCTGCTCCACATGACAGTCAGTGGGTCCACATGCTGGGCAGGCCCCATCCACCAGGCCTGGCAGGATATGTGGTTACAGGGCCCAGCCACGGCGGACTTGCTCCTCACGGAGCTCAGGGGCTAGAAAAGAAGCCCCATCAGACCGTCCAGGGGAACAACGCTTCTCCAGAACCAGCCTCTTCACTGCTAGTGGGATTTTGGCCAAGAAAATATTTTGGAAATGCCTGGGCAAGGTTTGCAATATCCCTGCACCAAGCAGCTGCTCAGATTTTGTGGAATGACTTTCGGGCACAAGGGACTGGGGGGAGGAATGCTGGGAGCCCGGGTTATTACACGCTTACTGTGTGCGGGTCTCCGCCGAGCACTTCACAGCCGGCTCACGTGGTGGCTGTCGCAGCCCTGGAGGGAAGGGCGGCTATTGTGCGTATGGAAAAACGAAGGCACTGAAAGGCAAACGGACTTTTCTGAGATCTTTGGTCCCCTGGGGATACAGCTCAGCTTGGGTGGAGAGCTTCCCCCTTACCCTGAGCACGGGGCTGTCCCCGCTCTGCCCCCAAGACCCTCAACCCCATTCCTCTCCTGCTCCAGCCACCTGGCCTTCCTTCCTCGAACATACAAAACATTGCCTTCCCGGGGCCTTTGCACTTGCTGTTCTCTCTGCCTGGAATGCTCTCCCTCTAAACCTCTGCAGGGCTGGCTTCGTCTCATCTTTAAGTCTCAGCCGGGAGGCCACTTCCTCAGAGAAGCTTCCCCGGCTGCCCTCTGTCGCCTTGTTTTCTGTTCGTCACAGTGTCTGTCCCTCTCTGAGACCGTCTTCTGCATTTACATGCTTGAGTTCTGTTCTGTTGTCTCTCTCCACGAGGTCTCCTCCATGATGAGAATAGACATCTGTCTTGTTTTGGGCACATCTGTACCCTGAACAGTGCGTAGCACACAGTAGGTGCTCAATCCCTGGCTCTAAACTTCCCGTTTTCTCCCACTCTTTCCCACCTGAGCAGCCACTTTTACGTAAACAGTGACATGAACTTTTGGTTATCTTAACTGCTCCAAATGTGCTATTTTTTCTTGGGCTACTGTGATATGGATTCTGCCACATTTTTTTTTTCCCCGAGGAAAGCGCTTGCTCTTGAAACTTGCCTTGGGGGCTCTGCAGCGCCACCAGCTAGCTCAGAAGCACATCAGATGTGACATTTGATGGAGAGGCTGCTGCCTTATGGTCCAGGTGTCTGCATCTTCCTTTCAGGAGCAACTGGGGTTTGCAACTGATTGCAGTTGTCAAGTTCAATGCCCAAGACAAGCTTTTGATTTTGCCAGGTGTGTCTGTACGGCTGAGCTGGCGAGAGGCTGTCACTCGCGGGGTACAGAGGTGGCTTCTGGGAGCTCCGTCTAGACGAGTCTCTGCCGCTGCTGCCCTCAGAATAGCAGAGGGAATTGCAAGGAAGACTTTTCTGGACTCAGAGCAACTTGGCATTTTTATTAGATCAAAATCAAACCCAAT